CTTAAGTGCAGGAACGCCCTCAGCACTTTAAACCACAGCCTTAGAACAGGAGTCTCAAGTGCACATTAGTAATGCTTTTGCCCTTTGCTCTTTGGAGGGGTGATTTGCTCTGCAAATACCTTATGAATCTCATGAGGCTCTGGCATTGTGTTATTTTTCAAAGGTGTCCTCTAGTAAATACCCATTGCATTACAGTATGGGCTTCTGCCACAGCGTATTAAATAATCATGAACAAATGGTATCTTGTGACGGGATTTGTTCTGGTAAATAAAGGTCTCTCAAGCCACACACACAAAAGTACATTTGTTCTGAGGACAAATGAAAAGATCAATGTTGTTTGAAACTGGTGAGAAGGTTAAGTGTCTTATGTCTTTAAATGAACAGGATAAGTGAGGAAGTCATGAAAACCTTTCTTGAGTATAGCCTTTCTTGAGTATACATGTTCTGGAGTGCCATCTTTTCTGTGAATAGTTAACAAATTGAACACAGCTGAACCTAATAAAATCTAGGTTCATGTGTCCACAGACCTTCATTTGCTGTGTGGCATCAGTTGCTGTACTGAGACTAATCATCTCAGGAGGCTGCCGGAGAGGATTTCTCTGCTGATGTCTTGAAGCATTAGGAGTTATAGTCTGAAGTTTGTTGTCTGTTTGTTGCAAAACTGAAATACAAAATCATGGTCCTGAATGTAAAAAAAAGAGTTTAGCTGCTTAGGTCAACCTCAGGTTACAGTGCAAATATCTGTGCTGGATGACTGTTAGATCTATCAGCTCTTTACATACCCCCATTCTGCCTCTGAGTTCAACAGCATGTTTTACTTAGGCACTCTAAATATCATATACCATGAGAGGCTGCTGAAGAGGACGCATCTTCTGCTTTCCCCTGCTTTTTGCTCACTATTTACAGCACATTGTTTTTTAGGGCTTATTACAGCTGTCTCTTGGAGCCACACTGCAAGGGAAGTTTGGGATACTTCCTGCACAGTCACAACATTCTGGCTGACAGACAGAACTCTGGTCTCTTAGGTTTGTCTGCTGACTCAACGGCATCAGAGCCTCGCGTGAGGACTGGCCTGTTTGTATGGGTAACTCTGTGGGATCGTCACTCACATACAATCTAGCTGTGCAACAGGATGTGAATGAGAAGTACCTATCCTGCCATCACACCAAAGCACTTAATAAAGTGTGCTAGCAGTGTAAACACAGTACAAAAATTGTGACCCTTCAGAAAAGGCCTATTTTTTTTGGTGCTTTGCACTTTCTAATGCAGAAGCTCTCACCTTTTGTTCTTGGACTCACTTTGTATATTTTGCTTTTGGACCATTTCACTTTCCATACTATCAAAACATCTAGATGTCACTTAGACAAGTTTCACACTCCAAATAGCAGACAATCTAAAGGATAATCATCACTCAGACTTTTCTGTCATACTGATCCTTATTTAACCAAGTGGCCTCACTGGATTGGATGCGAGCATACAAAAAAAAATCATTTTTCCTCATCAGATGTTACATGGGTTTTTCACTTCAAATATTTACTTATCAATTTACATTCACATTACATTTGAAGCTTATGATGTAGAAGCTTTAGCGACCTCAAAATTTCTTCATAGGTATGAAGAGTTTAAAAACAAACAACAACAACAAAGAGAGAGGTTGAAAATTCACTGATGAGAGTAAGAGAGCCATGTGTCCTTTCACTTTTAATCCCAGCCTGGAGGTAGTTAAATATCTGTGTTAGACTGCTTTTTCAAACATGCCTATTACCCCAGAAGGGAATACATTAAAATTCCCTGTTAGCATTTAACCTGTTTTGCCTGGGTAGACGATAGTTTGCATAGGATAAATAGGTTTTGCATAGTAGATAGTACATTTTTTCTCATAATCTTTTTCTTTTATAAAACTAATTGCATAAGTTTGGAAAGCTTGGCCTCATACTGTGGGTTGGTTTTTGTTTTTAGTGTAGCTGAGGCAGTAATTGGATTGGGTCACATCTGTGATCAAGTGGTTTTGCAACCGTGTAATCTTACCCTGACTTGAAGTGTGCTATTTCATCTGTGAGTTAATTTTCTCTATGCTGCTTTAATTAAGGGAAGTGGAGGTTACATGCATTTAAATATTAGTGAGAAGCAGAGTAATAGAATGTTGTCAATTACACTGGTTTTAAATCATGAACAGATGTGCCTGACATTCATCACTGCACTGAACAATATAGCTGTAAGACATGCTGATAATAGGTGTAGATGTGAGTATTGCTAAAGCTCCTTTTTCATACTTGGTGAAATCTCTATTGTTTATTTAGATCCAATTGTAGTCTGTATTCTCCTTTCACTTTTGTTAATGTGGATCAGGATTCATTTTTCTTAAAGTGAGGTCTTGTATTTTTGCAAAGATCTGATCCAAAGCAACAGAAAAAACTTGTACCGTCTTCAGCGGGAAAGGAAGGAGTAATCAGGTAATGTAAAAGTGGAGAATCAGGCTTGCAGGCTGTGACAAAAAAGATTTCACATCTATGAGCTTGTATAACTTGAGGTTTAATAAGGAGCTTTTTAAATAACAGGGTTGTTTAAGAAAAATAAGAGCAGTTTTGTTGACACTTTTAAGAAAAATAAATGATGAAAGTGAATATGAGATTCCCTGCTCACAACAAAAGACCTTAACGTACCTTAGCTCCCAATGGAGTTGTTGAAGTTCTCTTGCTCCTGTAGAGGATGAATGCCACGTGAATGGATATTTTCAGTGCTGTTTAAGCTCCCAGAAATTCAGATGGTGTTTAGTGAAGTTTTCAGAATTGTAAATCTCACTCATCTTCAGCAGCGGAAATGAGAATTAGGTACGCAGTGGTGTTTTCTGAAGCATTGTCTACATTGTAAAACATCTGTTCAAAAAGTTCTTCAACAAATCCAGCTCCAATTCTCCTTTTATGCATGTCTTGGAAGTTTGCTGTTGTCTTTGGCAGGAATGAACTGTAAAGAGGCAGTGACTGGCATCTGATTTGAGTCTTCAGTCCATTCTATAGAACTGATGGAAAGAAGCTTAAAAATGTTGTCCTTAAAGCTTACACTGCATTTGATTACTCTCTAAAATGTCCAGGACTTCAGGGGAATTGGACTCAATGATCCTTGTGGATCCCTTCCAACTCGGGGTATTCTGAGATTCTGTGACTAATTATCACTCAGTGGTATTTTGTATTTTCCACAATGAGTGCATAGCTTGTTTGTTTGTTGGAAGTTTATCTAAATGTGATGTGAACTGTGGAGCGCTCCTGTGCTGAAGAGATGTGTTTGTCCTCTCTACAGGCCTTTCTTGTCTGTGGGGTTCAGATTACTTTTTCTAAGGAACTACCTTGGGAAGAAAACTGCCCTCTTCCCTCGCTTATGCTTCAAAACCTGCAAAAAGTATTCTATTGTTTATGACAGGTAAGTGCACTGGATAACAACTGCCATCAGTGATAAGAGGGGTGATGAGTAGTAACAGTTGATTTTAACAGCATAGGCCAAATTATAACCTGAAAATGAAATGAGAGCTTTGTCAGGTCTCATGCTGTCCCACTGCTGACCACTAAAGTTTTGTTAAGCATTCTTTGTTAGCGTGTTTGAGAAGCCTTTGGTGGGCAGGATATGAACTAAAACTCAGGATCACCCCTTGAAGTTCCAGTGTGGACCTTCAGATTTCTCTTGCTCCTGGGTGAAATGGCTTCTATTTCATCTGAGGCTGAGCAGTGCAAATTTGGACAATGACCATATACCAAGATTGCTGAGAAGCCTATAAACCTTTAAGCAGCACTGCATGGAAAGATAAAACACAAAATGGATGTGTGTACGAGGGGAATGCACCCAGTGTTTTGTGCATTCCAGGAGCAGCCTCAGTAGAGACTGGAATTTGAATTCTCATCTGATAACATTCCACAAAGACAACTTGCATTCCCTTCCCGCCTCCCTCTCCTAAGAAATTTCTTTTGGCTTATTATTATTTTGGCTTATTATTATTCTGCCTTGGCTATCAGGTAACTTCTGAAGTGCCAACATCAGAAAAGATTAGTTTGGGTGCTTTTTGTTCAGCTCATAGTTTAGGTTCCCTGGGGTTCGTTACTGTCGTGGATTTTCTCTCTTACTGCCGTTGTTAACAATGTAACTGCTTGATGTTGTTGCTCTAAATCAAGATCAGAAACGTTACCAGGTACATCAGTACCTTTTTAAGTTTCCTTCTACTACTTCCCCCCCCTCCTTCAAACACACCCCTGTTTGTACAGTACAAGGCCATTAGAAAGGCAGGAAAAAGGAGAGGCGATGAGTCATGTTAATTTCTTAACGGCACAATTAAAACACAAAGCCCCACCTATCTTAGCAGGAAAAATGATCTTGGTCTGTACACCTGCTATGCAATATTTTTGTGTTTATTCCAGATTTTTAGTTCTGAATGTAAGTGTGGAAAGTAGGCTGCTGTTTCAGGAATTTGAATTAAGGAAATATTGCTTTTGGACCTGAGACATCAGAGTGAGATCAGGAGAAGCAGATCTAGTACAGTGTAATCATCTGTTCATTTCTGGGTTATGAGCTCTATAGAAAGAGATGCAGAAGTCTGTTTCCTTTGCCTGTGGGTCTGCTAGCACTGATAATGTCCCATTTAAACTCCAACTGATGGTTTTGTAGCTAATATCATAAAGCAGAGAAAATAACTACTTCAAATGAGGGTGCCTTTTTTTTTCCTTCTGACTCTATTTTTAGTAATTCCAGTAATAATCACTGTGCATTTTTTTTATTACAATAGCTTCTGCTTAGCACTATTGAGCAAAGGTGTCAGCTTGGGAATCCAACTGCTAGTGTTTTCTTTGTTTCTCTCTGTTATAAGTATCAGTCTGCCTTTTAGTTGATAGTTGTGTTTTTTAGAAAATCAGGTTTGGTCATATAGTGACAGCTGTAAGAAGCAGAGCAAGACATGCAGCCTAACGGGGGATGATGATTTCCCTATTTTTTCTGCTTTTCTGATTCTAGACAGCTTCTGAATCTGGGAAGATTTAAAGGATGTAGACAGTATCTTGTGTATGACAAGCCATCAGTGTTGTGCCCCATGTCCTCTTCCTGGCACGCCTCTTAGACCTGAACTGTCCCTGGGATCCTGGGAAATGGCCAGCATGTTGCTCTCAGTGTGACTTCAGAGGATTTTCAGGCCGCCTTATCTTCGGTAAATGTGCTAAGGTATGGGTAAGAATCTTTCCTCATAACTCTAATTAGTTCCTAGCATAGATAAAACCCTCTGGAGATGTCAGAACAGATGCTCTGTGGAAATCTGAAAACTAATTAATGTGTAGGAGTTGGAGCTATTTTTTCCTCTTTATTCTCTTACTATTGAGCACAGTTACAAACAGTACGCTAGAGGGAATGAAGATGAGTACTGCCACGTACGTCCCATATGACTTGTTTGCAATGCTGAACTGTGCTCAGGACAGAAGGTAAAACTGCCCTGCAGTGATGGCATACAGGGTGATTGGGAGGGATCCTCTCGGGAGGAAGAGGAGCAAATAATGCCTTTAGTGTGTTTCCATGTTCCCATGTTTCTTGTATCGCCTCACTGCAGGAGGAAGGAGCCACCCTGTTGCTGTTCAAATAACTCCTGAAGCTTTGCAAAAAGGACAAAGTCATTGCCCAGGTCCAGCAAACCTTTTGCAGACGTCTCAGTCCCACCTCAGTACATTGCCTGCAAAAACACAAATATATTTGAAAATGCCTGAGGTGAACTTTCGTTTGAAGTGTGGTCCCTCCGTGCTCTGTTGGCAACATAAAAGGGTGGGCACTTGGAATCTGTCCCTTGGGAAGACCCTTTCCAGGAGGACACCACAAATTTTATTTCTAATGTTTCTTAGAAAAGATAATAGCTCTCTGCAGTGTATCTGTCAGCCTGGGCTCTAATAGGGGCCTCAGTGGAGGTGTTAGGAACTCTACATGCTCTGACAGCCTTCTGCTTGGAACACCCGGATCCAGCACAGACCGCAGCACCGTCTGTTTACAGCAGATAGGAGCCAAGCTGTTCCTGCACGTGAGGAATGCAGTGACTTAAAAATTCTTCCCTACACAAGCTTAAGAACAAAAGCACAAAGCAGTACAGCCAGTCCATGGGCTAGCTGAGTAAAAGGTAGGCCTGGGTTTTGGAAATAAGTTCATATGGTTATGCCATAAGGTTTTCTTATAGATACGCTCTTGGCTTAGGAATTGCCTGTTTCTTTCTCCAACTGTGTTCAAATGCAGTGAAGCACCTGCTTTCCCTTCTGTTAAGGAGAAAGAATAGCTGGGGGGAGGGCAAGGTTGCAGGTATAGGAAGGGGATGGGAACATTCCAAATGCTTTACTGGGAATTGGCAGATGCTCTGGGAGAAGTTTGAGGACCTAGGGATCTTTAACCTGAGTTAATCTGACTTGCCTTTTAATCCAGCATCCCGAGCAGTGCCTGAACACTGCTTGCATCTGTGAACACTAACTGAAACAAGTAACAAAGATAATTTTTTAGAATACATGTTTTTAGTAGAACTAGTTAAAAGCAAATCCTCAATCGAAATCTTGAATTCCTTAGCTTTGCTCTACTTCAGTATTATTTAATGCTCGTTTTGGGTACTACTTACAATAGCAGTGAAGCAGACTTCTTTTTATGGTAGCTATAGATCTACTTACGTATTTTCCAGGAGCTAATGTAATAGTATTAATACTTCTATGAGTCTCTTATTACACCTTTAAGTCCAATTTTCTAACGAGATACTGATGATGTTGTTATTCTGACTTCAGCAGTTTTCTTTGTCTCAGGCCCCGTGAAGGGGTAGTGAAGATAGCCATGATTCTTGTTTGGGTAATTTTGTTGGACAAGGGACTGTTCTCAAAAATATTTACCTGCTTTCCTCATTTGTAAGAGTCTAGATTTTGCTACATCAGTTACTCTTACATTGTGACTGCCTTACAGCATACAGTTCAAATAGATGAATCTACAAAACCTCTGCTTCAACTGATAAGAATTACATTGCTCTTGTTTCAGTTAGTGTAGTGATTCTTCCACCAGCTGATAAAAATCTGCTTATATTAAAATTACAGTTACCAAAACATTGCATTTAAAAGTGATTCTAAACAAAATCTCCAGGAGTTCAACTATCTGATTCTGAGAAAAACAAATTTATCATCTGCCTTTGTCCATATGTATCAAAAAGAGTTCCTGAGTCAAATAATGTGGTCAGTTGGCTGTGCAGTATGTGCAGAGGTTGCTCTGCACCCTCCAGCCGTCGTTAGTACAATTGCACTTTGGCAGTCGCTGGTTAGGTGCATGACCTAATAGATCAGAGAGGGGAATAAGACTCAACTGTGTGAAGAACAAAGCTACAGTCAGACCTGCATGGGGAGATAGAAATTAATTTTTTTAGGTCACATTATCTGTTTGAACCTATTATACAGTCTTAATTCTACTTGTGTTAGGGAAGGGGAATTTTTTTTTTTTTTTTTTTTAAGGCTCGTAGCTCCCATTTGCAGAGATTCACTTTAAAGGTCAGTGTTGCAGCAGGTTTTCGTTGCTTTTTTTTGTTTGTCTCTTTTTTTTTTTTCAGTGTATGATCTTTAATAAAGGCTCTGTGGAAGACCAGTTTAGGTGATACTATCGTTGCTTTGAAACATACTGTACTATTAACCAGCATCCTATGTAAGTGATTAATGTAGCTAGGATACAGCAAGGGAAATAGAGATGGAGCAGCACATTCTCTGCAAATTCTAACGGTAGAAGCTTTGTCACATTCTGCAAGGATCCCCCAGAGTTCTCCCATAATATTTTTTTCTTCTTTGAGTCTTGTTCCGGGGTGCTGACAAGAAGTGTTCTGATTTTGAAAGCTTATTTTGAAAGGAGAGTGGAGAAGAAGCTACTTCATATTTTGCTCTGGCGAAAGCAAGTGGTGGTAGAATATTTGATTTGCGCAAGATAAGTTATTATCAGCTAGTTTCTTAGCACTGGTAAGTAAATAGTGATAAGGTCTAATGACTCCGCCTAACGCCTCTTTCCCTTGCGTCTAAGCCAAACAAGTGTCTTGCTGGCTCCATCTGCTGGACCCTGATGATGTGAACGATACAGTGAAGCTTGGCTGGACTCACACGGAACAAACACGTCTGAAACTGAAGCACTCCATGCGTGTCATGGAAACCGTGAGAAAAGAGATGGGAACATCCGTCCCCAGAATGCATAAGTGTGAAGACTAATGATTTGGAGTTGCATTCATTATGGCTTTTCTAGTTGTTTTGGGACACCAAGAACAACCCAAACCAATCAAATTTACAAGAGAACACATCCGTATAATGTTGGCTTTTACTTTGTCATGTGCTGGTGTATAGGAAATGAGACCTTGAAGATAGTTTATCTCAGTCTGATTAATACAAAATTAATGAATTATGCATAAAACTCTAAATGGTTTCCCAGATACAGAAACAAAAGGGTTGCTTCTGAAGTAGCAGACCATGGAGGATAATTTCAGACTTTTAGAACATGTGTTATTCATGCATTCCAGGCAACAACTCAATGGCTGATGACCGAGCCACACCTGCTGGACTTTGAGGGCTTTCAACTGTCTTATTACACTTATTAAAGTTCCACTGTCCCCTAAATTCATCTCCTTTTCACAGAAAAGGTAAAAATAAATTTACAAGGAAGCTTCTTATTGGGTACTGTGTCCTGCACAGATTACTTTCTTCGAGTAGTCACATACCTACAGTTAAGAATGTGATTTTTTCTGCCTCAGATGCTTGATACATTTAAGAAAGTTCATGTTTTTAACCAAGTCATTGTGGGACATTGTTTTGGGGAAAAGAAACAAGAAGTGTGTTTCATGGGAGTGGTGGTACTTCCCACTGAAAAGGGCCTTTGCTGCTGTTGTGACACAGCTGTCTCTATATCTGAGAGCGTTTCAGTGTTCTAAAACCGAACAGAACAAATTGAGAAGCCATGGAAACAGTGACTAAGATGAGAAAATATTTGCTTTCCTTGCTCTCTCTTCTGCCATGGTTGCACAAATTCTTGGAATGACTGGAAAGAAAGTTCTAAAAAATTTCGTGATTCCGAGATTCTCCGTCACGTAAGGATATTCTTTAATGAAACCATAGGGAATACAGCTACCAGGGGAATATGTGAAGATTAGCCTCAATACATAGAATTGCTGCACAATCTGGTAGTTAGAACATCTAAGAGTAAACAGTTAATGCTGTGGACTACCTGATGGTAGTTGATTGCTAATTACAGGTTTTACTGTAGGGATGTCTCACATTCTTTTAATTTTATGGAAGATGTAGTAACAGCAGGTTTCTGAAGTTAAAGAAAAACATTTCCTAAATAGAATTATTTCCTGAGTCGGTGATGCAATTACGGCTAGCTGGAATATTTTAATTATGATTTCCATTTGTAATCAAATATTACAAAAGCACGAGAGAGGGACTAAGATCTCATTACGTATAAAAAACAGTCTGTCTGAACCATATACCAGGAAATGGAATTAGAAACCTATCAGTCTATTACAGAGAGATGAGGGAAAGAAACCAGAGAACTGTGAAGACTTGGACCAACTGGCAGCATTATGATCCCCAAACAGGCTGTTAGATGCAGAAATGTGAAGCACTGTAAACAATCAGTTCAAGAAATTGTTTTGTGGGAGTTCAGAGCTGTAGTGAAGTTTGACATGGAAAGAAGAACTTTCTACATACCTGCTCTCCAGAACTAGATTCCTGGGGAAGTCATGTCACACTGTGTCACATTGTGGTTTTGTGACTTTGAGAAAGCGTCTTGTCAGTTCAACCATATGAGAAACTATATTTTGTGAGATGCTAAGCACAACCAAGGAGAATAGGCAGACAGACAACTGCAACTCCCCAGAGGAGAAGGAGCAGCTTGGGTGAGCCCAGGTAAGTCAACCTTATCTGATACCAAACGTCTCAACATAGTTTGTTTAAATAACATATTTCAGCTTAGTGAACATACAACTAAACCTAAAATGCTCAATTTAAATATTTGTCAAAACATATTTAAAATACCTCAGAACCCTTGCAGAAATTCAAATGACTTTGTTGCAGAATACCATTAAATTCCATGTCTCTGCTCAAATATGCTTTGGGAAATGCCTTGGTAAATAATGACATTTTTTGCTGTTTAGCCAGAGTTGTGATTGTGATTACAGTTATGTTGCTAGACATTTGTTTCTTTTCCAACTAGCAAGAAAGACAAACCAAAATATCTCCAACAGATACCATTGTTCTTGTTCCTGAAGCAGGTGGAAGTAACAGGCGTTGACCCCTCTTAGTATTTGTTCTATTGTTTAGTAATCAGCCTGGTTTTAAGTTCTAAGTCAAGTGATTAGAAAAGACTTACTGGCCTACACCCAGAATCTAAAAACGAGCATGAGCATGTTCCTTTTTCTGACATGGCTTGACCTTCTTCCCTTTTTATAATTGCTACTATATGAGGGTTAGTATCAGCCTTCTCTAATCTTTTAGATTGCCATTGATTCTTTGAATGACAAACTGTGGCATGTGAATGCAAAGAGAGTGAGATGTTATTGTGAGTTAGCCAGTGCTAGAAAAGTAAAGCACAGCTATGCATTATTTTAGGCTTAAAAGTCTGCAAACACAATCATTTAATCTTTTTACTCAAAGCTAGAGTTTTAGAAACCCTTTGCTTTATTGCTTTCTTACTTACCTGTGACACAACACCGTCACCTTGGGCAACCAGTAAGTCTCTAATAGGAATAAAGCCTGTAGTAGTCCATAGCAGCGAGCAAGCTTAGTAGAGGGAATTAAGAATTAGCCTTTTCTAATACCCTGAGTAGTCGTTTGAACATCCTTTACAGGGCTAAAAGAACTCTGCATTCTAAGAGCTATGGAGAAGACTTTGCTTTTGAATTAAATGTTATCTTGACGTCGCTATCAAGCAGCACAAGCAATGGCACTTTCTCCAAGTCTGTCAAGGTAGGTGCTTCTCATTTTTCTATTTCAAGGAAAACAGTAAGGTAAAATGAACAGGTTGTACACCACTGAGAAAAGAATCATGATACTCTCTTCCACTGTTGTTTCAGTAACCGTTTGCTTGACTCAAAGGTCTTCTGTGAAGTGGGATACTAAATGCGCTCGTTCCTCATTTAAGTGAGCTGAGCGCTACCTGTTTTTTATCTAAGTGATAGAATGCTAAGCACTCTTCAGTATATCTTCAGAAACTTGAACTTAAATTCATCTTAAGCAGTTTAAATTAGAGGTATTCTTTTAATTCAGTAACATGTTACTTTCCTGGAATTCATTAACTTAATAAAGGCATTCTCTGTATTTTTAAAATTTGTTAAAAGAAGAGAGGTACTCTTTTTCAGGGTTTTAAAATGAATAATGAAGATGAATTTTTAGCATCCAAAATATGCTTGAGAGAGCAGTGTATGTATCTTTCAATATATTTTTTGCTATATGCTACAAGATTTGAAGTGGACTAACTGCATCGACCTGGTGTTCACTCTATTGAGCTGTCGCGTTGATCTCTTCAGTCTTTATTGACCTGAACCAAAGGAATACATTTCATAACACCTGCAGTTCATCTCACTTTATCAGCCACACTGAGATTCTGTAGTCAAATAATTTTGAAACAGAGAAGAACTCTGAAATTCTCCAGTGTGTTCACTTTGAGGTTTGGGGGTCAGTTTGTGCTTGGAAATGTCTCAGCAGGGCAAATTGCTGAAGGTGATACGGATCACATCACTGCCAATCTCCAGATTTCAAACTCTTTATTTTCTAGAAGTTTCATCTAAAATCTTTTATTGTTCCAGAATCTCACAGTAAACAGGGATTTAAATGTCACTCAGCTGCTTAAAGTGATTAGTTGCAAAACAGCTTTTCTTAAAAATGCAAACTTTCCCTATTCTGGCCACTTAATAAATAAATAAATAAATGTTAGCAATGATTCTTCTAACTCATCCCTAGAAATTCTAAGGGACTTCCTGTCCTAAACAAAGAAAAAGGAAAATTAGTCATACTTATGTCAGGACGAATATCTTGAATGTCGTTTTAGTTGAATAGATTGAAGAAATAGATTGTTACAATCTAAAATGAGCATGTAACGGAAAGCCAAATGATACCCACACAATAGATTCCCTTGAATGTGTGTTGGTTATGTTGCTGCTGAACTGGAGCTTGGCAGCTGGCTTAGCTGCTAGTAGGCTTTGAATGCCTCAAGGATGAGAAAGAGCCTGCACCTCATTGGTGCTCCTGAGGTGTGAGAAGTTGGAAGCTTTGCATAACTCAGTGAGCAGCAGTCAGGAAGTGAATGGCCTTGCCAGCTTCATACTTGTCAGCATGCACAGAAATTGAACAGATCAGTGGCAGCAATAAAACCTCAGTCTATTGTGGTTGCATCTGCTTCAACTGTGAAGACTTTTTGCTGGGAATTAATGTGTTCTAACTAATACAGCTCAGACATTCTCTCTATAGCACTAGCTATTAATTTCATGTGAGCTGAAGGGGAAGTCTTCAATTCTTCTTTCTACTTGTAGCCTCTTGTTAATTTCTCAGTTGATACACAGTTTTCTGATAATAACACCAATTTGAAGAATATTGTTATGTGCGTTCACCCTTTCCTGAGATAGTCACGTTTGAAAACCAAAAGCTCGAAAGTAAGATGTGGGCAAACATAGTTCTAGCAACAGCCCATCTGCATGGACAGCTGGGGTACAACGAGGGTTAAGCAAAGGTCAAAAGAGTCACTCATTTTCGGGATAGGTATCTGCAAATGGAGTCGGTCAGGAGTGCAGTCATCAGGAGTAATTGCATGTGTACATGTTCAGAGCTACGAGTGCTTGCTTTCAGTCTTGTTCCCACTTCAATCTGGTTGTCAGGCTTCCATCACAGGCAGTTGAAAACCTCTTCCATCAATCTAAGGCCAATTTATAACTGCAAAAATACCGATGAGTAATGTTTCCATTTCAGTGTGTTTCAGTTTGGGATTTTTTTCATTTGCAATTTTAACTAGATGTGTCCTGATAAAGTATGCCTTTGGTGTTGAGTTTCCTGGGTTTCACTAGGGAGCTTGACTCTTGTTTATGGAGTCAAAAATATGGTTACTGCCTTAAATATGTTTTTTCCTTTTAATACCAATATTTTCAGCAAAATCTTGTGGGAAGTCAGATAGTAATGTCTGTAAAATGTAAAATGTCTGATAGTAAAATTGCAAGTTAATTTCATTTAAAAAAAAGAACAATAACAACAAAACCACAATTTCACTTTATGATAGCACCACTGTAATAATTGTTGGCATGATCCCAGAAGGCTTGGATGCGGACCCTGTTGAACAAGGTACTAATCAAACACAGTACAAGAGATGATCTATTTAAGTGCAGTCAAAGAGCTAAATGGAATCCTTAGACTGGATCAATCATAATGTGGTTGTTACAGTTGACAACCATGTCATAACTGCATTACTTTGTCCTTTTGTCAATTCTCCTGTTAAAATACACATATGCTGAGAATTAGCTGCAATGAATCACTATAACAACAGTTTGTAATCTGACAATGGGCCCAATCCTCTGGGTTCTGGAAAAGCCTTGTTCATGCCAACTTCATTAAAGGTGGAATTCAGCCTACTGTTGAGGACTGGCATAATGCCAGTCTATGCTTAACTCTTCTCTAAGTCCTAAAACATGAAGTGCTGTTGTTTGTGAGCTCTGGTAAATCTGACCTGGGGAATTCCACACTTATAAGTTCTGTAGGATTGGGCCAAGACAGCTGCCAGTAGTTGCTAAGGGAAAAAGAAAGAAGTAATGTGTGCTGTTGCATAGCACAGAACACAGTACATCTTGGTGATCTAAAATTTCTTCTGGTATTTTCTTCATCTTCTAGATGAAACTAGAATTCGAACTAGAATTGGACTTCTTTACTTAAAATTTGCTCTGAAAATTCTGTCTAATTGTAGAATATTGAAGACTTTTTTTCAGTGCACTTCTATTGCCCTGTTGCGTATGAAATTTCTCAGACAGGTGATGAAAAGTGTTTTGAGTAGATCAGTAAGAAGGAATTTATTGACTAGATGTGTGTTTGTATGTGTGCAAACACGAACTGAATGTATTCTTTTTCACTTTCATGCTTTATCTCTTCTTGATCAAGAGCTCTTTAAGAATTGAGTAGATCAGCTTGTTAAGTTAAGGAGGAAGCAGAAGTGTGGTGGCCCAGGGAGGATCAGTTACTTTCCAATGCAGGGACCTCTTCTGGCACTTTTGCAGTGGTGCCTTTGCAGAGGTTTGCACGTTCTCCTTTTGGTGCCTCTTGCAGTATGTTTTCAGTAAAACGTTATCACTGTTGTCAACTCAGCAGCTTGGTTAGTGTGTTTCCACAGGTATATCTGTTAGACTTATAATCTGGAGAGACTGGGCTGTGATCATTTTTGTTAGTAACAACCTGCAGGCATGTGAGGATACATTAATATACATATATTTCTGTCTTAAATTTCCCACTTCCACTTTTCAGTCAGATGTTGATGTTTTGATTAAAACATTAATACGTTTCAATTAATTAGAGAGGAAGGAGAGAAGATAGTGACTTAACTGAGATGGTGGAATGGGCAGCTCCCATAGACATGCAGACACTCCTCGGAAAGAATGCACTAAAAAGGACATTTTTATGGGGAAGAAAATGTTCCTGGATGTACTTGATTCCCCAGATGCAGATGGTCAGAAGCCACTGACTGGGAAAGAAGTAGTTTGATGATACTGAGCAGGGACCCATTTTGTAGTGTGGTGATCTGGTGACTGCGGTGCAAAGAGACTACCAGGAGGAGAGCAATAAACTAGTTACATCTGCAGTTAAGCAGAGTCACCAGCTGCTGTATTCATGTGCAGTGAAGCACAGTGAGTATGCTGTTCCTTCTCAGAGTTGCCCCAGTTTAGAGCTTCCAGTTGCTTGCAGTCTGAGCACAGTATTTCTCTGCTAGCCAAAGGGAGGATGTCCCACCGCCAGCAAAGCATCTTTGTGCTGACATGCAGAATTTCTCTCTTCTGGAAGCTGTCTGCACTGCTTTGCTCAGACAGAAGGTGAACTCAAAGAGTCTGTAAGAGTCTTTAGTGTAACAGTGTTCTGCTGTGTTTTATATATATATACTTTTTTATATATATATATATATATATAATAATAATAAATATATATATGTTATATTATATTATGTATATGTATGTGTGTGTATATATATGTGTATATATATATATATATATATATATATATATATTTTCCCATGAATGTATGCAGTGTAGTTTAGAAACCTGCTTATAGAGCTCTTGCTTTATGAAGCCACTTTCAGGTCAATTCAGTGTGCAGCAGAAAATGCACCAGTTGTTGATGTAGCCACGGATGGCCTGTTCAACAGATACAAGTTTTGCACATGGGAGTTTTTCCCAGGTTAGTGAGTAAATATATAGTCCTAGCTGACTGGAGAAAGATTAGCTTACATCTGAGGGCTTAATCTATAACATAGACTAATCTTGATGTGATCCTATTACTGCAAGGTCAGGTGGGATTTTACTAGTGTTTGATTGTCTAGTTTTGCTCATTTGACCTGGGTGGCTTGTAGTTTGTTTTTTTTTTTTTCTTTATCCGTGTCTCTGAGACTTTGTAGTCAGGAGAAGGAGAAACAATCCCAACCACAAAAATGTAAGGAGATGCACAATTAAAGGGTAATATAAAAGGAAAGACAGAAACCTCTTCCCCATTATGTTATCCCTTTATCAATGTAACATTAAAATGTAGGAAGTAGCAAAGAAATTCCGCCATCATCTGTCAGATTTTTGGAGATTTGTGTAACATGAGTTGGCCACATTATTGTGATAAGTGTTCCTAGTGGAAACAGGTAACATGTAACTGAAGGAACTTGGAAAGGTGGGAAATGGCTGCTAGACAGAGGGCTGAGTTGTGTGTCTACTGCAGCTAGTTTCCATTTGGTTCTTAGTGTAAGACAGCATGGCAGGCTGGTAGCTGTTATGTTTAGGTCTTGCTGGTAGTGATCTATAGCTGATCAGAATCATTTGTTTCCAGAGATCAATGGCACCTCTCACCTGAGAGCGAGTGGAATCTAATTTTCTAATGAGCTGGTAAGAGGGTAAGGTGCCTGTGGGAATGTATGATGTTGTCTGCCTTCAGCTGTCCCCAGGAAATCAAGACAAAAGATCAGGAGTTTTGTTCTGCTCTTCTATAGAGATTGTCAGCACAATCACATTTATTATCTAGTGTTCAGTAGACAGATGAGTGTAATGGATTTTTCTACTAACTGGCTTCTTAGTATCTTCGTTAATTCAATTACATTCCACTACTTTGAAGCACATTTCTTTTTCTAACAAATTTCTGTCAACACAGAGCAAAGAATTGCAATCAGAATTCATCCAGTGAAAAGCTAAAACTTGGTGTACTGTCACAGGCCTCAGTGAGCTAAGCAATGAGAATAAATGAGGATCAGCAATCCAACGGGAGGTGCTAAGCTCTTGTTGAGAGACCATCTAGGAGATGCTGATTCATTACTTTCTGATGTGTGAGAGATTACAGAGCTGCGTTACCTAACTATCATCTGAGACGAGTAAATTTAGCAGTAAACAGGCCTTTCAGTTCTAGAGATAGAATGCAGGAGCGGGATCAATCCTATTGGATTTATATTCATCTTCCTTTGTTCTTAACCCTGCTGATATGTGAACTCTGAACTACTACTGACCCTCGTAAGTGAGCGCTCTGTTAGCAGTTGGGGAGATGACGTTCCCAGCCAACACCATCTATTTATTTTAGTAAGCTTCAATAATGTTGGCAAAGCACTTGATAGCAAATTTATCAACATTCTAAAACTCGTTACTATGAAGAACTCGTGGAATTGTCAATTCAGTTGAGAATGCTCTTGTGAAAATGTAAGGACTGTTTGCGCAAGTATTTTGTACACAAATAACATACTTCCATGTGTCCAAGGGCTCCAAGTGATTTTACAATGATCAGGGAGTTAAGAGTATTTACAGAGATTTAAATGTTTGCTTCCTTTATTCCAATGGAGAAACTTGCACGTTGACCCCACAGGATCACAGAATCACAGAATTGTAGGGGTTGGAAGGGACCTCCTGAGATCATCGAGTCCAACCCCCTGCCAAAGCAGGTTCCCTACACCAGGTCGCACAGGTAGGCATCCAGGCAGGTCTTGAACATCTCCAGAGAAGGAGACTCCACCACCTCCCTGGGCAGCCTGTAATTGTTTGAATCTGATATCACGGCCAGGACGAGAGGGGCAGAATCAGATATTTACAACTGTGTTTTATGTTGAATTCTGACTTGCGGCTGATCTGCATTTCATATTCTCATTCTCTTTATATAAAAAATATTGCCTATCCCTCCAGGACTTCTCTAATAACAATTGACATTACTTAGATCAAATTTATGTTATGTATATATTTAATTTTCTCATTTGAAAAGCTGTTTTCACAGTCAGTGCCGACATGATTGTGTGTGATACCAGTACATTATGGTTTAGGAAAAGTCATGAAGCAATTAAATTCCTTTCCTTAGAAGCATATGGTTTGGGTTTTTTTGTTTCTTTGTCTTTCAAACAAAGATGGGAATTTCAGCAGATCTGTAACCTTTTTATCAAGCTAATATAATGTAAAAGGCTAATTTAATTCAATGTTAAATGTTAGACTTTTTAATTCTTATATTTCCCGAAGGAGGAAAAACAAAATAGTATTAGAAAACACAGTGCTTCACATTCCAGAAAATGTGTTCTACAGAATATCCACCAGATGGAGCTCATGATGCTTTAAAAGCAAAAACAAACAAAAAAAAAAAAAAAAAAAAGGGGGAAAAAAATGTTTCTGGTGAGACAGAAGTTGCAAGTTAGCCAGGTGGAGTTAAAAAGTACTCATTATTGAATATACCAAGTGGATGTGGTACGTCTAAATATTTGTTTGGCATTTCACAATGAAACATAATTCTGTGAATAAGAGAACTGATAGCCTAGCATCTAATGGAAGGCAAAACTTTCCAAAAGCATAATTGAGAGCAATTAAATTACCATCCAATAGTTTCTTCCTTAATTTCAGGAACTTTCAGGTGGAGTACAGTAGATGGCCTTGTTTCACTGTTTAGCATGTTGCAAGTAAGCAGGTTTCCAGCTCTCCTGTTGCTTAGTCTCGTCTTGTTTCCCAGGGTAGGGAGTGGACTTCTGTTACCTGTTGTAGGTGTTGTCTTGAGATGGGGAGCAGAAGTCAGCATTTGTTTCCAGGTTTATGGGTTCTTTCACTCAATCCTGAAATCAGTGGAGTTTTGTGGACTGATATCTGATGATACAACTTCAGAACTTACTTATGTTTAAATTTTTTTCTCTGGTTTGATTTTTCCATCTCTCTCCTTCACTGTCTTTTCAAGTCCTCTGTTACTAAGTGAGTAAGAGAGATTCTTTCAGTCTTTATTTTAGTTGCTGGTGGACAATGAAACATTGTGAGTATATCTAACTAGCTTTGTTTGAAACTCCAGTATGGCATTGCAAAAAGTGGCATACTGGATACTTACATGATGACAATTTTTTGCTCAGCTAAAATGCAATAGAAAAATCTTAAGGTTACTGTCATGAAATCCAATGCTCATTTAAATCTGTGTAAAAACTCCATTTGGTTTTAAGATTGCGATGCTGAAACTGACTGCTGCCTGTGCTTATACAGTATGTAACTTTTATAATGGAAGCCTACCACCAATGTTCAACAATTCTGCTTTTGAAATCAGTCTTTTTGAGCCTTGGATATAGGATCACAGCTTGCACCCACAATGGATTCCTGGTGCTTCCATCTAGCTCCTGTTTGTTGTTACAATAAAAGGGCTATCATTCAATTTTTATTACAGAATTTAAGTGACTATGATAATGTATAGAATGCTTAAACCTTGTCTCATATGTAGGAGAAAAACTGCCCATGCTCATTTCATGACTGTATCTGTCCAGTTCCTCTGAATTAATCAGTTTCAGAGGTAAATTATACATGCAGGAGAAGGAGCTTTTTTTACTCCTATTTATAACATTCCAGTCATTTCCAATTGTAAGTCCTGTCGTGTGATTATTCACATCAGGTCGCTGTTCAAGACATGGTGACATTTTTCATCTCTTTCCATCAGCTCCTGTTATGAACAGTTTAGTAGCATGTTAAAATGGGCTTGGAATACAACACAAATAGTAAACTGCTTTGCTTCCTGTAATGACTGACAGTCTGTGAACTATTTACTTACAGCTCACCTACATGAGTTTCAAATCACTGATTTTGCAAGTTACTACAGAATTATTGTTCTTCATTACAATTTTTATTTTTTTTTATTTTTATTTTTTTTCTCCGGAGAATTCTGTATTTATTGAAACCTTTTTTTGGAAACATTCCTATTTTCCTCACAAAACTGAACCCCAGTAGTTTCACCAGAAATGCTACTTTTATAGGAAATGAATTTTTTTTGTACAGGATTATATCTGCATATTGCATCATAAACCCATTTCTTTTTGGCACTCAGTTCAACCAGTTCTACTGTATTCTCAAGTTTGTAAGAAACTAACTGGGTCTGGGTTTAGTTCCATTAGTACTTGCATTAAATCCCAAACCTTAAATTTCCAGCATTTGCCCTGTAACTAACACCAATTGATTTTAATGAGGATCTGTCTCCATTCCTCATTTCTATGTGGAAATGCTTTACCTATGTCACTGGTTGGAGAACTGATGAGTAAAGTAGGCTTCAGATAAAAGGTGTTACTTTATCCAGAAGGAAATGTTTAACAGTAACTGTGTTTAAATAAGCCTCCAAATATCAGCACTGATATCTTTAGAAAAGTTTTGAGGAAAGGGACAAAATGACAGCATTCTTGTAAGCCACAGATGTGTTTCTGTGAGGGATTATTTAGCACTGTTTTCTTATCTGAACTGCACACTTGATGTCGCGTTTTAAATTTGGAAGAGCAGCTAGTAGCAAAGTACTCACTGTGCCAACTGATAGAAAGCTTGGTACTAGTTCAGTGCCTAGGGCACAAGCCATTAGAACCAAGCACTGTGTGTAGATGCATTGTGTACACAGAGATTGTTTTCACTCTCCTGGTACTTGTACCTTTTCATATACATACCAAAGAAATAAATAAACATGGAAAAAAATTTCAAATTTCCTTTTCCCCATCCTCTGCCCACAAAATAATTTGTGAACTCTGCGGAACATTTACATTTAATCTCTAGTAACCTGGCATCTGAACTCAGCATTCAAACTGGATCGCTGCTGTCTTTATTTTCTTTTCCTGTAGGGCTTTGCTTACTTTGTTTTAGTGTCACTCAGTTGTCTCTTCACAGCTGTAAAGTCTAATTTGCATAAAAACTTTTTTAATTATGTATGTAGCCACATGTGTTTTAAAAAAACAAAAGACAACAAATGCATTTTTCTTTCCCCAGCTGGAAGACCTAGCCAGTCACAGACTGCCAGGATGTGACAAGTGATTCCTCAGAGCACTCCCAAGGTGATTATATGTGTGCCACCAGCTCTGTCATTTGAATTGGAAATTGAATGTGATGCAGTAGGGAAGGAATCCACTGTCTGGTTTCCACCTTTTTAAAAACAGAAATAAGATGTTACATGTCAGTTGTCTGAATTTTGTTGTTTAATTAAGTGACATTTAAAGTCCAAATATATATATATATTTTTTTGCCTAGGTTACAACGGCATTGTTTTGAGGATATGTAGTTCACAGAAAAAGTCATCGACTTTTCTTCACCCAGCAGATACCAGTCCCCAGCAACCTTCAGTGTACTCATTCTGATGGTAGGTAACTGCTGAACAGTATTCTGTCTATACTTCATTTCAGGGATAGAAACCAAAGAAGAGCGGTTGAAACATGTAATGGCTGATACCTACAAATGAGAGAAAACAGGTACATTAGTATAAAACTGGGCTGTGTGAACTCTTGAAGGGAATAGAAGACATGGTGTTCTCACTGTGAGTTTTGTTCTGCACAGGAAGCTATATATGATTTTTATAGAACTTGATGTAAGACTTTCTACGTGTACCTTATTTCAGTTGCAGTTATTCAGAGCTAAGAAAGATGCCAAGCTCTGTGTTGCAAAATTATGTTGGTTTTTTGTTGTTGTTGTTTTGCAAATAATAAGTGCACTTTGGCTAGCAAACCATCATGCTTCCAAGGAAAAACACTATAATTTCATGAATTTCTTAAGTATCTTCATAACATGAAAATTCAGAATTTCTGTATTTTGTCTATTGCATTTAGGGTTGTATAACTTTGGAATTTTTTGTTCGTCTGGTTTGGTTGCTAGTTCTCCTCCATCCCTGAACTCTGCAAACTTACTCCTTATTTAAGTCTTATCCAGGTTAACATTAAGATGAGAAATAATAGGCCTGCCTATAGTGTGAAAAAATGGGTTTTATAATTCTGAACCTAATGTCATCAACTGACCAGAAAGAAAGAGATTTTGAAACTGAATGACAATAGTTGTAGTAGTAGAGCTGTATGATAGTAATCAATTATTCAAGCTTGTGGGTTGTTTTTTTTTTTTTCATCCCCTAGTGTCTCTCTCATCATCTGGAGCTCTTTCTATGTACATCTTTCTCTGTAGTTTGGTATTAAGTCACTGTACCGTGCTGTGGAGCATCACCCCGACTGTTCTGCATTTCTGTTGGACAGTGCTGTGTTTAGTTAATAGATTCTCTATTTCTCTGTATCCCTCCCTTTCTTCCCTCGTTCTTTATGTATTAGGTAAGACAGAAAAGTAGCTATAGCACAAATGCAGAAGCATTCAAAAGAACAAAAAAAAGAAAAATTTAAGGCCTTATTATTTCATTTTTAGTAAACAAAAAATTTTAGTTAAAAAAAAAAAAATCCAGAGAAGTGTGTTTTTTTTCTAAATGCAGTAGATTTATAATGGACTGTGGTTTTGCAGCAGGACGTTTTGCTTCTTTTGGCTAATAATGAGACCTAGCAGTTCATGGCTTTCTGGTTTTAGTACATATAAGTAATGCACTACTTCTTTGATCTATGTGACTCCCAGTCAGTGAATCCCAATATGTAGATGTTGGGAATGGAGAAAGCTGAAAAAATGTTACAGTCTGAGGAAATGAGAAAAGTAGGATAATGCTGTTTGTTGGACCACTGAGAAGCCTGTGTAACTAAACAACGATGTTCTTTCAAACATTAAAAAGATTGTCGCTGTTTGAAGTGCTCAAGGCTCCAGAATAAGGTGTGCTAGTACCTAGTTTTGTTCTCTTGTTCGTTTTTCAAAAGTTAATTTACTGTGGCAAAATGTCTGATTTGGAAATCAAATGGATTGATCAGATGAGTTTCTTGCTTCTTTCCTTTAAATTGATGATAGAATGTTCTTCGCTTTCTGCTTCATCTCATTTGAAATGGACCCTCCATCTTCTACTGCAGAGAAACTGTAAGAAGTTTCCCTGCAGCTTTTTATGCATACTATAATGAGGAGAAACAGAAAAGGAAAAAAAAAATAGGAAGAGGCTGGATTTTTTGAAAGTAAAAAATATGTAAAATAATGAACTGGCTGTGAAGCCAGCCTACTCATAGGGAGTATATAAATGGGATTCATAGGATTAAATATTCTTGGACAGTCATTTTGATGTTTCCATTTATTTTCAGACTGGGAGAGTAGCAGGTTTATCCTGCTGGTAACTGAAAAGCAGGTGGGTTTCTGAAGATTTGAATGTCTTTAATAATGGGTAGTTTGCAGCACCACAGTGATTTTAGACTACCTTGGCATACATGTCCTCCTGCAGGAAAACTCCTGATGAAGTAGAAAATTGATTTGCTTGTTGGGACGCTTCTCCAGATACTTTGGTCACAGACTTTGAAATTGAAGTATCTTGCTAACAGTGAGATTTTTTTTTTGCACTTTAGTTGCTCTTTTATGGGTATTCATGGTTTTGGGTTTTTCATAATTTATTTGCCAATTGATTTGGTTTTTTTTTTTTCCAATATACTGAAGGTGATTGACAGGCGTGTACTTTCATGTCACAGGTTGTTTAGATACAGAACCAGTGTAAAGGTCTTTCACTTCTCTGCTGTGCCAGATTCTCATCCATTGCCAGCCACATCCTGTTCCAAGAGATTACCACTCTTTCCTCCTCCAGTGCTAATTTGAACCAGATCATTATACAGATCTGATTTAGACCACGCAAGCTGTTAAATCAGCTCAACTGATGAAGTGGAAAACTCCAAGGAGAAACAGGAACCTTCAGCAACAGTGTTTGTTTAGAGGGATTGCTAACGTGAGACCAGTCCTAAAACTACAAGCTGTTTTGGAAAATCGATTAAACTTGTGCTTCTAAATCACGAGAGCTGATGAAAATGCCAGCGTGGTGCATGCTTCCATTCCTTTAGCAAAGTGGGATCCACCCCCACAGTGTTGAATAAGCACAGCGGGTGCGAGAACATCAGCAAAACTTAGTTGCCTGATTTTTCAGCTGGGGTTAGTATTTAGCAGCTTCTGTTTCATTGACTGTTGATGGGCTTTCACCAGGCTCTTGGAAGGTCTCCTGCTGCTGATGACTTGTGAAAATCCAGCATAATCTTTAAAATATATTAAAAAGGGTGTACAGGGAGCTTTGGAAAAAAAGTCCTAGAATTGCAGATCCAAGATAAAAAAGTGAATGAATTTGTTATTCACGTTTTACATTGTATCCTGGAGAAGGGAATCATATTCTGAATTTCTACGTTCTGAGAGAAAATGGAAGAACACCAACTGATTAAGTAAAAGGCTTAAGAGCGATTTTGACACCCATGATGTCTTTCTGTGGCAAAAATGGCCCTGTGGATTTTAACTTCAGTGTCTAGAGTTTTCTTAAAATGGAACATGTAAAAGTAAAGACAAAACGAAGAGAAGCTGAGAAATGAAAGAAATGGGTTACAAAAATCAGCTTTAACTTCCTTTTTCCTATCCAATAGTTTTGGTTTTCTTTTGTTTCATTCTAGGCATCTGTAGGTAGCTACCTGCTCCTGGTTATAGCAGGATTGTTTATTTGAGAGCTGGCAGCTCTCTGAAGATGGGAGTTGAAGATAAGCTTTTTACAGTGAAGCTGACATACCCACTTACAGAACTGAAATGAATTGCTCCAACTGCTTCATCTTTTGTTTTTCCAAGTGAGAAAAACAGAAAGGAGCACAATCCTCATGCTACAGCACTGAGATCACATTCTTGTACATTAGAGCATGACAGACGTTGCCTATCTCAGGACAGATCTTTTTACTATTTCTATGCAAAATATCTAAGGACTAATTCTATTTAAATAAAATAAAGTTTTTAAAAGCCCCCAAATCTCTCTTCTGTGCTCGGTGTTTGCTGGGCAACCTTTGTGTTTAAGCCAGCTGAAGTTCTGGACCTTAGAGAAAATGGAATTCTCGTGCAGCAAGATTCAGATTGCTGCATGAGAATTGCTAAGTAAGAATCATTTAATCTTCAGTCAGCATGTGCTCATTTTTGTCTTTTAGCAAAATGCCATCTGTCATCTCCTGAGTAATGCAGTCCAGTATCAGTTCAGGAAATTGTGCTGCTGGAATATGATGCCAGTTTGCGAGGTAGCATCACTAGCAGGGACAAGTATGCACCTCAGCTTCATTCATTGCATCTGGGCGTGTGTAGTGCCAAAAATTAAAAAAATTTAAAAAAATTTAAAAATTTTGCAAAAGAGGTAAAAGAGTTTTGAATTTTTTTTTTACTCCTTGACAGCATTCATAGTGGGTTTGTTTAAACTACATTGCAAAACAAAAGTGCTCTCCCTAATACAACTTCAAGCATAGCTATTATCTGAATACTTTTCAGTTTTATTTATAATTAGCAAATAAGATGCTAGATCACGAGGATGTATTGTCAGCTCTTGATCAGACTCACTGCTGTGACATTTAACCACAATCTGAGAATATGATTCAGAATGTAGCAATCAAAAGTAAACTTTTGTGGATGAAAAATGCAGGATTGGATAAATCAAGTTCTGGTGTAAATGGAATTCCTCAGTGATAACAGTGTAGAAGACTAGAAAGTAATTGCAATGCTTTGCTGCTAAGTGTGGAAGCAGTGTGCCTGGCACCCACACCATCTTTGCAGAGGTACAAAGTGGTTGAAGCTGAAAACCCTAAGTAAATGAACAATAGGATTGTGCAACTCCTTTGTGTTATTGATATTTCCTTACAGACACAACCAGGCAGATTAGCATTCCATGTGTAGATTTCTGAAATGTCCTTCTTGATTCTCTGTGCTGTTGTCCATGTTCTTCTTTAAAGCAAACTCTCACAGATTCCTTACTTTGAGAAAACAAGCCCTTTTGGAGCCAATTAGATAAATACTAGTTGATAATAATTCCACTGGTCTTTTAAAGCACCTTGCCTCGTTCTCATTTCTTGTTTATTCTTTAATAACTGCCTCCTTTTGCTTTCACTCTGCATATTTAGACACAATAGTACTAAATATATGAATGGAGCTATTCACAGAAATCTGTAAATATAATACAAATATAATACACGGCACACCTTGTTTGTCACAATCCATATGATCTGATTGTCTAAAATCTAACTTGTGATCTTATGGGTTGCTTTCTTTTAAAACCTTAGATCTACTGTAGGCACACTCTCTGTCAGCAGTTACCCTTCAGCATCGCACAAAGCCTGTAACCTATAGTCTGCTGAGGACCATCTGCTCTTTTCATGTGCCTTTCTACTGATACCAAAATAATTTCCATCTGACTGCTCTGCACTTTGCACAAATAAAAACCTTTTGGGCTGCTGCTTGTAAAGTAGATTTACC